CAACCTAAGTTACGCTACTCCAGCTACATTAGTCGATGTAGCTTAGGTTGACTTACGGACTGGGAGACTCTCTCCTGTCAACTTGCCTGACTCCTCTCGTTTCGGTGGAGTACTGGAGAGTGCTCTGATCCCCAGTGACTGTAGACATGGCCTAAGAAGCAGTATTCTGACATTTCAAGGGACCAAGAATTTAATTACAGTGGTGCAGTATCAAGAGCAGGCAAGAGGAAGACATTATTCTGATGAAGGCAAAACAGGAGAGCTATTACCTAGATTCATACATGGCCCTCATTGCTATGTTAGCTGTGCACTTGTATTGGTGAATTTATTCTCACCCAACCCCACTAAGGTAAGGAAATACAATCACTGTTTTCTAGACAGAAAAACTGAAGCACAGAAAAACAAAGTGACTTGCCCAAGATCCCGCAGGAACTGAAGCCAATTCTCCTGAATCCCAGTCCAGTGCATTAACCACAAGGTTGCTTATTCATCCTTAGATATGGGAAGTCATCAAACTTCAAATCAGCAGAGCTGAGAAAAGAAGTTCTTTTCATAAAAAGCCTTCCCCATCCCAACTCTCTTATATCTACTTTGATCTGTTACAGTAGTTTTACTCCGCAACAGACACTCCCCCCAAATGGATTATAAGGCGAATTTAAATTAAAAACGATTTTAATAATCTTATTCACGTCTCCTGAATTAGGATATTAAGTTAATACACTAAAAAAGCTCTAACAGGATTAATAGGGGCCCTTATCAAAGATAGTTATGCTAAACTACATCTCTTGTACTGTAATGATGTTTAGAAAAAAATTGCTTATTCACATGAAATGTAATACACGAAGAATAACCTAATTCCACTACTAATATGCTTACTGCTTTGTAAATATAACTGCAAAATAATGGATGCAGTCAATTTAAGTACGTAGTTAGGGTTGTAATATATTTACAGTAGGTTTTCAGAGTTCTGTTCAAATAAAGCTGGGCAGCCAATTGCAATGCATACATCTGAATAAATAAATAAATAAAATTTTTTAAAAATCTAGTAGCGGCAACTCCTAAACTACAACAGCACAAGACTCCTTGCAGGTATATTTTTAGAAACTAGAATTGTCTGCCTAATCCCGGAGCAGAAGTGAAAAGCAGGTTTGATAGATTCCTAACTGATAAAGGTCTTTTAGCAAAGGACAGTCAAACGTACATCACCAGGTTGGTCCCCTGCAGCAGTTGTCATGGAGAGGATAAATGGAGGACTCTTCCAGGGCACCTAAACTTCCTGCTCATTCGTCCCACCATAGTTTAAGTAGAGTTCTCCCAAATCTAAAAAGGAAACAAAAGTGACCTGATCTATCTTACTTATTAATGTGGCATGGGATTGTCAGTTATTTTATTGCTGTTTTTTAAAATCAGGCAGGAAATATCTAATTTCTGCACTGGATATATAAAAGCCATTATATCTGAAAAGAGGCAAATCTAGAGAGCAGGTGAGAAAAATCCTCTACATCCAATTTAGGACCTTTATTATTTACTGAAGAAGGGACTCCTCATCTTAGAGGTCATCTTTTCCTTCTTTCTTCTCCATACTTAATTTTCTACCCATTTTTTCCTCCCCAAAAGGGATAAAAAATTACTATTGGGGCCAGAACTTTCTATAGTCAGGTCCATGATACTGACAACAAAAGGGACTAAACAGAATAATCAAGTAACCGCTCGAAGGTCTGTTATTTGTATGAACAGAGAAAGTGTCAATGAATCAGAACAGGATGAAATCCTGTCACTATTCAAGTCAATAGCAAAACAACCATCATCTTCTCTAGAGCTAGGATTTCACCTCAAAGGTCCATCTACAATACACTGTTTTATAGTGGCAGTACCAGATGCTACAGAAGAAGAGGCCAAAATATCGGTAGTGCACAGACATGAAATAACTTGCCCACAGGGAAGTTTTTCCTCTAACCATTATCAGACAGGCTTATTCCAAAGTGGGAGAGTTTATACCCTTATAAAAATGTTGTTATTACCCATACAAATACCTAATTCTTTTATTAATCTTACTAGGCCTCAAGTTATATCTTGAGACAGTGAACTCGAGAGGTTATATAGTATTTAAAATTGCATTTCCTTTCAATTTAGATTTGTTACCTTTCAGTTTAACTGAAGGTAGCCTTATTCTTGTTATTAGGGAAAACAGCCACATCCCAATTCTGTATACTACCATCATACTTCCTCTTGTTTGTGTCTTCTCAATACTAAATGGGGTCAGTCTGTCTCATCTCATGTCTATAGTCAATTTCACTGCCTGTTTCTGCTATATTCTTTCTGAGTCAGGGTTACCAGAACGGAACACAATATTCCAGGGAAAGGCATACCATTGAATTATATCATAGCATTATAATATTTTCAGTATTGGTTTCTTTATACAGCCTAACATTTTGCTTATTTGTTTTTTGACACCCACTGCAGAAATTTACATTGAGTTGTCTGGCCCTCTCCACCCCCTGCCCTCACCCCGAGTGGTTAATTAATATTAGAACCCAGCAACAAATGCATCACTTCACAAATTTCAACACTAAATTTCATCAGTCACTGTGGTGCCCAAACAAATAACTTTGTTAGGCCCCTCTGAAGTTCCCCACAGTCTTCTTTAGTCATAGCTAACCTAGACTATTTTGTTTCCTTTGTCACATCACTGTTCACCTTTTTCAGTTCACCTGAGCTATGTAACATTGACTATAGGACTACTGGGATTAGATATACATGTTGTATATCACTTTAAAGATGGAAACACCAAATTTCTGTGAAGTATTCTTCACTAGCCCCAGCTGTGTGGGATATATTAGACCTTAAAATCCCATCATTCTGATTATAGTCTTGATTTTCGGAGGCTGGACGCTCAGCACTTTTTGAAAAAAATCAAGCACCTTAAAAGCATTACAATTTGGACACACAAAAATGGAAGCACCTAAAATACTAGTCCCTTTTGAAAACACTGGCCCTCCATTTTTTTTCTTAGCATTATTATATAGCTGGTATCTCAAGCTGAAAACAAACCAGCACTTTATGCCAATCCATCTTGGAATCACAGCTTTCGAATGGTATAAAATGCTAATATTCACCTTCAGTGGTTCATAAGATTTTGACAACTAAAACTTTGTGGGAATCATAGTGGAGGAATTAAAACAAGATGGTTATCAGGATGCTATATTAAGGTCTAATATCATGCAACTTGCCAGGACTAGTTGCACCTTTGTTGGCTCAGTACAAAGATTTTCGTGACTTGTAAACATTGCCAAATACTGGTCCTGAACCCAGTGAGTCTAAAGCAAAAAATTCAATCCCTACTACCACACAAAAGCCAGGCTCTTTTTTTTTTTTTTTCCTTTGTTTTGTTTTGCCAGGGACAACTGGACAGGGACAGCCCATGTTACTGCTTAACCAATCAGAAGTATCACTTATAGGAGAATGCCACCCAGTGTGCCAACCCAAATGAAAGACTGTGAATCAACCCAGATACATTGCACAGCAGCACAAAGTATCATTAAAGAAATAAACCAAGCCAATGATCTTAAACAAGTATCTTAAAATGCCCTACAGGATTGCGGCTGGAGGTTCCTGGTAACTGACCCTGAAGCATTGCCTTATCCTAACAGAATGCAGTCTGCTTTCTATCCAGCATCCTGTAAGCCTTCCAATAGTTATCCCAGCTAAAGTAGCTGCAAGCTATAACTTTTTGGAAGAGTGAGAGTTGAAATATATATGATCTTCATTCTGAAAAGCTGCCGTTAGCTCGCTACATTTCCCATCACTCACAAATCTTCTCCACTTTACTTTTAGAGTTCTAACAAAAATCAAAACTCTCTTGGGGTCAAGAAGAAAACTAATCTTCACTATGAGGATACATTCTGCTGTAGTTTCAAACACAAGCTTTTCTAGGTAAACATGAAGATAGAGACAATGACCTGCAGGTGTCCTAGCTAAAACCAGAGCAATCAAACAAGGCTCCTTTCCTTTTATATCAAGGAAAAAAAAGGTATGTATGAAAAGATGTTTTGATGATTGATGTAATATGTTCAGACTCCACTGTGGGAAGAGAGGACACACTGGAAGCTTAAAAAATATAAAACATCAATTGCTAACAGATAAACCACCCCCAAAAGCAAGGTGGTGCAATGAAAAAATAGTCAGTATTTGCAGAAAATCATGTCTCTTTATTATGTCTCAAGTTGGGCTCCCAAAAATAACTAGTTCCTTTCAGACGTCTTGATCGCTGTGTATGTTTACTATACTGATTTCAGACTATCCTGAGAAACCCACTTCCAAACAATCGTGCTGAGAGGCTTAGTGTTGTACAGCTCAGAAATATTATTAATAAGAAGGAACCTTGTCAAATTAACCCCAATATGATTTCCCAGTAGTCTCAAACTTGCATGATTTGGTGGGGGAGGGGGCGGGGAGGAGAGGGGAAGGGGGGCAGGACAGATCACATTCAGAACTATCAGTATTTAAAATAAATCAGAATGGAACCAACTCACTTTGAAGAGTTTCTTCCTGGATCCTCAATTACATTGAAAGGATAAAAACAATGAGGAGTCCTTATGGCACCTTAGAGACTAACAAATATATTTGGGCATAAGCTTCCATGGGCTATAACCCATTTCATAAGATTCATGGAGTGAAAAATACAGTAAGCAGGTATAAATATTCAGCACATGAAAGATGAGAATTGCCTTACCAAGGAGGGGGGGGGGGTCAGTGCTAACGAGGCCAATTCAATTAGGGTGGATGTGGCCCATTCCCAACAGTTGGCTATCCCTCTGAAAATTGAAAGGATAGGCACTGAATTTGGGACGTTAGAAGGAATGGCTGGAACACAGATTCGCATAATAATGGGTGGAAAGAAAACCTACAAATCTGTACGGCAGCATGAGTACCTTTCTACCAAAAGACAGGACTCAAGACTGCCCCAATATCAAACTGGTAATGTCTAGTCATAAAGTTACCTGAAACATTTTCAATGGAGGAAGCATCATCAGCATTAACATTGCTTACGGAGAAAAGATTGCAATCACTGCTGACTCTATTTATCTCTCTCTTCACAGAAGCCAACTGTCCGTGGAATATGCATACAGTCTGCAATGAATCCTTCCAAAGTAAAGAACATCCAGAAGTTTAGGCAAGAATCTATTTCATGGGGAAAGCATAAAGCAAGCTCTCATTTCCTTTTTTCTAGTAACAATGAAATTACACCAGACTTTGGCATATGGTGCTTGTATTAAGGGCAGGACAGCGAGAGCAGAAACATCAGGTTCAGAACTGTCCTTTGAAGCAAGAAACCAAGCAAATGAGTTACTCCTCAAAAGAAATTGGTGTATACCTGTTCATAGCATCTTGCCTTAGTCTGTAAATTTCACCCTAGATTCTCTTACTGCGAAACTGCATGAATACCTGCTTGTTGACAAGCAGGATGTGCTTAGTTAAAGAATATCATGGACCTAAGGGCTTGTCTATACTTACGCGCTGGTTCGGCGGCAGGCAATCGAACTTCTGGGTTCGATTTATCGCGTCTTGTCTGGACGCGATAAATCGAACGCAGAAGTGCTCCCCGTTGACTCCGGCAATCCTGCTCGGCATGAGTAGTACGCTAAGTCGACGGGGGAGCCTGCCTGCCGTGTCTGGACCACGGTAAGTTCGAACTAAGGTACGTCGACTTCAGCTAAGTTATTCACGTAGCTGAAGTTGCGTACCTTAGTTCGAATTGGGGGGTTAGTGTAGACCAGGCCTAAGAGTACAAGGTCCACTGTAGAAAGACAGCCATGTCAGGATTCAGGTGAAGCTGAGAAACGAAGGGCCTGGGCCAGAAGAATTAACAATGACGTGCGAGTCAAACAAAAAGATAAATGTCTAGTAAGAAAACAAGCTAAGATCATGCTTAGGGAATGGCTGAATAAACGTATCCCTGAGACCTTAGAGCTGTTTTGCTCTGAAGGAGTAATGTGTTTGAAATTGGAATCTCACTGTAGGCAACTGGTTGAGGGATCTTCCATGCTTCGGCCTGAAAACTGGACAGTAGGGAACTTGGCCCATAAGACAATGCAAGCAAGTCAGAGTGCCTAAACGAGATTTTAGTAAGAAACAGCTTGGAAGGGGTTAAAATACTGCAAACTCCATTAGTTCAGATTAATTAGTCTAATGAGCTGACTATACTTTAATGCACTGATTTAATTCCACAAGCTGAATTTGTGAGACTCGATATTCTGTATTGAATCTGTAGTTCTAGTTTACAACTGTAATAGAACATTTATTTTTATCGGCAGAGGTTATATATTTTAACATAATATGAACTTTGGGCAAGCTTTGCTTATAAAACATGCTTGGCAGGCAGAACATGTTGCCTAGTCTACAGTAGTAAGGCAATCATGGCAGCTAACAGAATGCCTTTATTTCACCAGTCCAAAAAAGTTTTTGCACAAGATTTTGGAACCACTTTGGTCTATCCAAGTGTATATACACTCAGCAAGCGAATCAGTCAGCTTACACAAGTGGAGCAATCCGCTCATGTTTCTAAAGGATCTGAACAAAGAACTGCAGTATTCCAAAATATTTTTGGAGCTATTTGTTGTTTATACACCTTCCCAAGGATCTTAAATACCAGTTCTGGGATTTCTAGGTTTTATGGAGTACTGATATGCCTGTCCAGACTACAGATTGACAATGGTCTTCCAAAAGAGAAGAAGTGTTATTTACCTCTTCACATAACACAAGAGCAAGGGTCACCCAATTAAATTAATAGGTGGCAGGTTTAAACAAACAAAAGGAAGTATTTCTTCACACAATGCAGCGTCAACCTGAGGAACTCATAACTAGGGGATGTTGTGAAGGCTAAAACTACAAACTGGGATCAAAAGGGAATCAGATAAACTTATTCTCCATTAACCTATCCTCAATGGCTATTAGCCAAGGTGTTCAGGGATGCAACCCCATGCTCTGGGTATCCCTAAGCCTTTGACTGCCAGATGCTGAGGCCTGGTCTACACTATGACTTTAATTCGGATTTAGCAGCGTTAAATCGAACTAACCCTGCACCTGTCCACACAACGAAGCCATTTATTTCGAAATAAAGAGCTCTTAAAATCGATTTCTGTACTCCACCCCGACGAGCGGAGTAGTGCCAAAATCGATATTGGCATTTCAAATTAGGGTTAGTGTGGCCGCAATTCGATGGTATTGGCCTCCGGGAGCTATCCCACAGTGCACCATTGTGACCGCTCTGGACAGCAATCTGAACTCGGATGCATGGGCCAGGTAGACAGGAAAAGCCACGTGAACATTTGAATTTTATTTCTGGTTTGCCCAGCGTGGAGAGCACAGGTGACCACAGATAGCTCATCAGCACAGGTAACCATGCAGGCCGATAATCGAAAAAGAGCACCAGCATGGACCGTACGGGAGGTACTGGATCTGATCGCTATATGGGGAAAGGATTCAGTGCTAGCAGAACTTCGCTCAAAAAGACGAAATGCCAAAACTTTTGAAAAAATCTCCAAGGGCATGATGGAGATAGGCCACAATAGGGACTCAGATAGGTGCCGCATGAAAGTCAAGGAGCTCAGACAAGCCTATCAAAAAACAAAAAGAGGCAAACGGTCGCTCCGGATCAGAGCCGCGGACATGCCGCTTCTACGCCGAG